CAAAAGCTCTTTTGGGGTCCTCCATAATTTTTAAAAGTGGAAAGGGGTCCTGAGAGTAAAAAAGTTTAAGAAACACTGGATTAGAGCTAACAATGAATCAGTGAAAACAAACAACAGCAACACAATTTCGTGCTCTCTCTAAGACAACCTATATAAACAAATTACATTAGAAAAACAAGATACAAACAGCACATAAAAGCCACAAATAGCAGAGCAGCATGTCCCTCATCACCCACTCTAGTAAGCAGAGTTTGCACAGGTGATAAAACTTGTGAAGCAACTCTTTCAAAAGATTTGCACAACCCTAGTCAACACAAAATGAATGTACATATTTATAATTATTAATTTGTTCACATTGTTAGTGCAAAAATCTATCAAACAATTCTCTCACAAAAAAATGGACTGAATAAATGGCAGCAACATGACAGCATATTAATTTCAAGTGATTTGTTTGCAATATGTCCATATGATCTTTAAGGAGTAGCAATACATTAAATATATATAATTGGATCACTGAAAAGAAATAACCTGACATTTCTCAAATAACAGGGGTATGCAACTTCCATTAATTGGTGGGTCACATGGAATGTGGAAGGTCTGCAAGGAGACTAAAGCCTTATTTAGAAAATAAGTTAAGAGGGGAAATGGAGGCCTTAAGGCTTAAGGCATCCTTTTTGCCATTTAAAATGTCAAACAATACCCACCATGCTAAAAAAAAAAAAAGGCAGAATTCTTTGGTACCACCCATTCTTAGGTGTCACAAAAAGATGGACACATGTTTGTACCACATTGTAAGAGATTGCCATATAAATTAATTATTGGAGTAAGATGAGTACACGCTTTGCAGAGCCATCTAGGAAATCAAATCATTTTTTGTTGTTGTTTAGTTCCAATTTATGTCTGCAGAGTTTAATGTTTCTATTAAGTCTGTGCAGTACTTTGCATCTGAAAGCAAAAAGATGCTTGAGAGCAGGTGATGGTTGCAACTCCCTAAACCAAATGGGTCTTTTCCTGGGATCTGACAGCTGCAAAAAGGAGCCAGGCAATGCTGGGGAAAGAGGCAGCTGCTTTACCAAGTTGCAGATGCTACACTCTTGCCCATGTGGGCTCCAAAGTGCCTTTTTGTTCTTGAATCTGAACAGCTGCACCATCACTACTGACTTAATTCCAGTTGGTGTAAGTTTGCAAACTAGGACCATTCATTAGGAATGTATCTCACCAATATTTAAGGAATTCCAGCATCTCAAGTCAATTAAAGGAAGCCCTACCTGCCTTTGGGTCTGGATTCATGAAGGAATCAAGCTCTCAAATGAGCATGTGCTGTCCTCTGAGGTTCATTTTGCCCTAACGCCTGAGGGGACTTTCTTGGCTGTGCTATCTCATCTTTGCAATGCGCTTTCAGATGAGAACTTCACTTATAGCACTCTAGCGAAGGCCTTTTTATTTTCAATTTGGTGCGCTATGCTGCTGGAATTTTGATGTTTAATCTTTCTGCTTTATTTTAGTTACATTTCCCTGGAAATATAAGTTATAAAATATTTACATAATTGTTGCCACTGAAGTTTGGTCTTCATTGAGGTGTTAAATCTGCATCTGCATGAGGCTAAAGAGAGGGGTTCACTTGACTGAATTTTCTTTTTATTAAAAAAAAGTATCTTCAGCACAGAAAACATACATACTGCTCTGAAGGCTAGGATAGAACCCTTTCCTAGACATTTTTTCTAACAGTAATATAAAGCTCCATTTGCAGTTGCAACATTTGAACACTAGATTAGTCTTACTGTAGAACAAAGACTGCTATTACAATTAAAGACTATATAATAGTTTCAATGCACAGTAGCTATTTCTATCATTTCCCTAACTTGAGAGGCATACAGTTTCATCCTGTCTGTTGCTTTCTTTCATTAAAATGAGGCAGTATAAAAATTACATGTTAAAAAAAAAGTCAGACTTGTGGAAGAAAAAAATATCCAATTCTCCTGGTTGCACAAGGACACAAGCTACTGTTGTGTAAAGGAGTTACCATCAGATTTGAGGCTACAAACAAATTATTTCATAAAGTCTTTTATGAGAGGGACCATTATTTTCTCTTTAGTAATACTTTTAGAATACGTTTTCAAAGCAAGTCTTTCAAGTTTACCTCAACTAGCAAGGTCCTAATCAAGGTGTCCTTTCGTCCCACATCTAGGCCCCCCGATGTTCCATTTCCACAAGCTGTACTTGTTTGTGGGGCTTCAGCAGTAACAGAGAAGACTACATCACCTGAAAGCAAATAACCAAAAGAAAGAAAATACAATTTCTTCTGTGCTGTGCTGTGCTTCTTCTTCCTTAAAGGGCAAGCAGTGGCAGCTAACAGGAGGGCTCTACCAGCAAATGTGCATCTACAGAAGTACCCTACAGAAGGTCATACTCCTATGCTGCTGGTTTGGTCCATCCTTCTTGGAGCTCCCTTTTCCTGGGCCAAGAAGAACTTTTTTTTTTGCTCCTACTTAAATTGGTGCAGGGAGAAAGGCTTTTTGCCTAGACTTTGCTGCCATCTCGCAGACAATGCAGATGTGGTATTTTAAGCACAAGATGGCAACTGATCAGAGTGGCAAAGCCGAAGTAATGGGAAAGTAGCTGGAAATACCAAGAAACTTTAAACTGTGCAGCTAAGGAACAGGGTAGGCGGCCCCTGGAGCTTGACTAGGTTGCATACTCAGAAGTCCTGGGGCTGAGAATTCATGCTTCAGGAGCAAGTCCCTCAAGATCACAACGGTGCAGGAAGATCGGAAGGAGGTAGGTAATGAACTGCACTACTTTGAGGAGGACCTTAGGTAAAAATTATCCCCATCTAATTCCTAAGAGATTTTCTTACCAAATATTTGCACAGTTTGATTTATCACAGATGTTGTTTGCTTAATAAAAGTTCATTATTGTGAAATAATGTCAGGTTTGCAATGTTCAAATCCCAATGAAGAAAAATCTCGTGCAACCCAGGTTAGGTTCAAAAAAGATTTCATTTATTGGAACAGTACATGCGACTCTAGGCAAAGCGTTGCTGAAACTAAAGCTCATGCTTTTTCCCTCTTTTCTTTTACTCCTACTTCTCACCCCGTTCTTTCCAGGCGCCAGTTCTATTTCCTACAGAGGTGCGACCTTGCACATTCCTATCCCCCGACAACAGTCCATCTTCCTGGCCTTTGATATCACACCAATTCCTTCTACTTTCCTTTTCCCCCTCCCCCTTCTAAAGAATGACGGAAACAAAGCAAGCAACTACTAAGCTAATATTCTGATTGCTGAAGGTTGTGACAAATAGTCTATAAAACACTGTTGCACAAACAATCTTGTAAAAGTTTTGCCAAATTTAAAATAAATTGCATTTGCAAACTGGAGGCTAGCATTTCCATTATTTCCAAATAAGTATCAGCAGCTGAAATTGGTAAAACTGAAAATCCATTATATGGTTTTCAAACATCCTACCATATTTCAAGGAAACCAAAATGGAAGGAAAAGATGGATCCTGATTGGCAAGCTGTCTTTTACAGTGGTGTAAAAGTGGTTAGTGTGTGGAACTAGCCCTGTAGAGACCATTCAAGCCCCATTCAGCCATGAATCTCACTAGGTGATTTGGGATTAACTATCTCTCAGTCTAACCTACCTCACAGTCTGTTGTGAGAATAAAATTGGAGGGGAAAAACATGTGTGCAGCATCTTAGTCATCACACCAAGCAGCATCTGATTTGCTTTCAGAGAACTCTAGAATTCTTTGAAATAGACTTTGAAAGTTACTAAGACTGCCCTCCCCACCAAAAACACCCACAAAAAAGCTACTACCTTAGAGTTCTGAATTAGTTGTTTTTCCATAAATACTACATATAAAAATCATACAAGAGAAAGTCAATGATTTTTTTTCATCCTATTTAGGATGATGCAAGTCTACCTATACAACATTTGAGGTCCATTCTGTCACCAAAGCATAAAGCTTGAATGGAGTCATCAATGGAACCTCTTACAGTTTCTATGCTTGGGATTTGTGTCACTCAGACACAAACAAAACCCTTTCAGAAAAGAAGTATCACTTCAGTAACGTGTAACCTGTCTTTATTTGGGAAGGAAGGAAGGAAGGAAGGAAGGAAGGAAGGAAGGAAGGAAGGAAGGAAGGAAGGAAGGAAGGACAGACTTACCAAGTTTTTTAGTGATGATATTCCAAATGTAGGTCTTCCTCTCATTGCCACACACACAGTCTTTATCATCACCTGCAGGTGATATAAGTTGGGCTTGAAAATCCAGAGATTGTGCTAGAGAGGCAGTGACCTAAAAACAGGAGAAAACAAAATGTTAGCAGAAGACTTAACACCCATTCCCCATGGAAGGAAAATTTAACCTCTTCAAGTTAGAGAACAACATATTCAAAGGTTTGAATTTATTCTTTGTTGCATCAAGATCCACCATTTTCCCCCAAATTCTTCAATTTGCTTGCTAACAAAGAAGCATCATAACCACCACTATATTGTAGGACTAAGCCCCACAAACAAAACACACATTAGGTCAAATGACATTTTTATTATAATGAATCTAAAATGATAGACTATTGACCAGATCCTGACTTGATAAGGAATTGCATTCTTGTCTTGTAGAGATTTTGAAAAAAAAGGAAAATTTAGTTTAAGATTCTGTAGATTTGTTTGAAATCTCTATAAATAATAAAAGAAGTTACAAATTCCTATATGAGGAATTATTTGTTCATAATTATAAATAGCCTTTCACATTATGCATCTAGCAGATCTTAAGTTAAACATATGATAATATTTAATTGAAACACTTGAAAATAAGGTAAAAACAAGAAAATTGCCAGGCAAAGCCAATAATCTGTGGAATTTATGATACAAGAAAAGTACCATAAAACAAGGAGACAATACTTCACTTTCCTTTTATTAACCGTGAAGGTACTGAACATGTTCATGGCCTTTACTTTGCATATAATTCACATGCAACCTCTTACACAAGTGTGCATTGAGAATAAATTGAAATACAATAAAAATCTAATTCAGGTTGCAGTCTTATACCTCTTACTAGGAAATACACACTCTGTGGAACTAACAGCTAAGAATTAACAACAGGATTCTGCAATGCTTTGGATTCCATTCAGACGTGATGCTTTGAAATGCAAGTGTAATACCTGTCTGTAACTCATTAAAGCAGCCATGCCTGTTTCTAAGATGGTTGCAAGGAGGCTTTCATATGCAATTTTGGAAAATTGTATGGTTTCTTTAATGAGTCATGAACAGGAACTACATTTGTGCTTCTTCATGTTCCAGAACACCTCTTCCAAAATTGAATCCAAAGCTGTCAAAGACATACACAGAATTGCAATTACAGGGACATATTGCTTTACAATACTTTAAATAGATGGTAAGATCATTAAATCAACTGTTTTATCACTCTAGTTCCTCTAATTAAGGAACTCTGGAAATTATAGCAGAGGCTGGAGGGGAGGAGCTGGAGGCTATGAGTATCTTATAAAATAAGAGTTTCCAAGAGACTAGGGAAGCTCTGCAAATTAAACTGATCCAATATGTTATATAGCCGTAGTTATTCTGCTTATCTCAATAAGATACATACTTTTTCTATTTCTGGCCATATAGCTGAAATCTAGGAGAGAAATAATGAGCAAGATTCTATTCCAGGGACAAGGAACCTATGGTCTTCTAGATGTGTTTAGATTCCAGTACCCATAAGCCCCAGCCAGAACGACAATAGCTGTAGTCCATAACACTGGAAGGGATGCAGGTTTCCCATCTGATCTACCCTAACAGTTTTAGCCAGCAAGGAGCACAAAGAGGTAGTGTGAGAATGCACCTGGATGCATCTGTCCAGATAGTTAAAGATAACAGCTTTAAGGAGGAAGTCTTCCCCTCTAATGATGGAGTATGGCAGCGTCAGGTCCACAAAGAATGGCTGGAAGGCTATGAGGGATGCAGGCTCTGAGATGCCAAACCCAGTCTCCTGGTCCACACAGAAGGCATTGGTTTTCCACTCTGTGATTGTATCAGGTACAACGTAGGTGAGGTCAGCATGGCCAGTTGAACTAGTAAGTAGAAGGAAAAAGGAGTCTTTTTAATTTGTGGCCACAAGACTGAGAACAATGACTTTTTCTATTTATGACCACATTTTTCATGCTCTTAAGAGAAGGAATGACACTTCTTTTGCTTTTAATTTCCTTCCCGGAGCAGGAGACACTTTCATTTTGGGCTTCCTGCTCCATGCCCTTTTCTGCTTGCTTGGAGCAAAACAGAAGCCTTTGTTCCCTTTAGCTAAAAGAGACTGGGAACACAAGGGGCTAAATGCATATCAGCAACAACGATACTTGGAACTGCAACACTGCAATCCTACTTTTGGGCTGCAGAGGAAGAGACACAAACCTGTGCAGAGATTGATAAAAAGGCCCATAGAAAGTCTTCTATGCTTTACATAAAACAGCAGATTTTTTTCCAGATTATGATTTGAATCCGAAGATCAAGATTACCTCTAAAAGCACGTACTCTTAACTTGGTAAATGAGAGACATGCAGATTGTTTTGTTCATTTTTAACCATTTCAAATTAATATAGTGATTGAATGCTTTAGGCAAAAATTAAAAATTACCCATGTGTTAGCTGGAAGACTTGCCACTGCAGTAGGAAGCTACGTGCCACTGGCACCACTTTAGAGAATTTCGGCAGGAAAGGAAGTAGAAACTCACTCTGGGCTAAGGGCTCGAGGCTTCTTGCCAACCCCCTCTCCCCCCTCCCCTGGCTTGCCAGTTTCTCCTCAGCAACGTGCGTCAGCCCTGGTTTCTGTCCCCTTTCCCACATCCCCTCGTCCCTTTGATTTTACAACTGAGAGGTGGAAAAACAGCTAGAAAATAGGGGAACAGTGTAAAAAACAGAAGATGAGACAAGCAGACATGGATCTTGTCTGATACCATCACCTCACTCTAGTTGGACAGGAGAAAGAAGCTGAGGGAAGGGGAAGAAGGGGGAGACAGAGAATGCAGCTTTGGTCTCACCCACTGCTGGCATGTGACCTCCCCCAGCCTCAAAATGGTTATGCAGAAATACTGCAAATGCTGCCCTCGTGATGAGAAACTATCCCAAGAAAGTAGCAAGCAGACATCCATCGGGCTCTGCAGAACCTGCAGGCATTAGCTTCTTCTAAAAAGGTATGAATATCAGCGGCTCACTTGACAGGAATGATGTCCCAAATCCAAGTTTCTGGCAGCAACTTTCGAATAGTTTCAACAATAACATGATCTCCAATTGCATCCCCAGGACTTGGTGGTGGAGGAGGAACAGGCTCTAAAAAGAGAAAAAATGTAAAAAATTATGTGGATTTGCAAAATAGCAGGGAACAGCTCCTATCTATGGTGTAGTCATTTGTTCTGTGGGGAGACTCTTCTTTTTTCTACTCCTAACCCATTTGGACTGCCGCCAAAACTCTGAAATCCAATAGATGAGGAAGCAATTGTTTGGCATAATGGCCACCGGCTGTCTGTAAGGGCACAGGGCCATCACTCCCTTCCCAGCAGACAAAGCCTCATTTAATTATAGTTTCACTGAGCTCAGTATACACTGAGTCAATGGAGATCAATAGGTTGTTACCGGTATAGGAACACAATGCTTTATGAATCATACAATCAAGGAATGTATGTAAGGTTTGGAGACCACAGAGATCATTGAGTATAACCCCTCCCAGTGCAGGAATCCACTCCCACAGTCCTCAGCAAGTGGCCATCCAGCCTCTGTGTAAATACCTGGATTTGATAGTTGGAGGAATTTCCTGATGGTAAGACCTGTCAACCAGTGGAACAGGTTGCCTCGTAAAGTGGCATGTTCACTGGAGGTCTTCAAACAGAGGTTATATAGCCATCTGCTCATAATGCTTTAACAGAACCTGCACCAAGCAGGCAGTTGGACTAAATTACCTCTGAGGTCACTTCCAGTGCTATGATTCTGCTTAAATCAGGATCTAATCTAGTCTATTTTATTTATTACAATTATACCCTTATCTTTCCTCTGAGAAGTTCAAGACAGCTTATATACTTCATTTTACCTTCATCAGAATAACCTGGTATGGTAGGTTAGACTGAGAGAAAGTGACTGGCACTAAGTCAGACAGTGGGGACCGGAACCTGTATTTTCCCAGCCCCATTCCAACACTTTAATCACAGTCCAACAGCATACTGGCTCTGTCTTCAAATTAGCAACATCAGTTGGTTCTGTGAGGCAGAAGTAATCAAGAATAGTAATTTTGCTAGCCTGAATTTCAGAAATCAAAAGGTACTAATAAGAACATCAGGAAATCAGCAAAAAATAAATCTAAAAGACACTTTGGGAAATGATTTCTGAGCCACAAAAGTCCTGGAGAAACAGTCCTGTTCTGAAACAAGCTCATGGTTCCCATGGGGTCTAAGAAATCTGGAGTTCCAAATCTGCGTTAGCCTGGAATTAATTATTACTGTTATTATTCAGATTTAAAGAAAACTTCATTAAATTGCTACCCTAAATATACCAACAAACTAGCCTGCTTGTGTTCTATGGTGCTAAATGAGAGGTAAGAGAGTCTATAACTCTAGCTTAAATGTTGGTTTCTCTCACTACACTCAGATTAAAACTCTGAGCCAACTTTCTCATTACAGCATTACAGAGAAATCAAGGCATCTGATATCTTTCTCTCCCTGTGACAATTCTTTTCCCTGCCCATATAATACAGCAGTACTCCTCTTTTCCCTGACTGCTGCTGTAGTCAGTTTTCCTCCTGTTCTGCAGGACTGTAATTCCTTGCAGCTTCAATTTACCTGCAAAGGAAGGACCAGCTGTACTTGTAGAGAAGCGACCAACTGTTTCAAGAGAAAATGAAGATGGAAAGTGTCTGCTTGAACATAAAACTGGTTGTCGTATCCCAGAATTGGTTACAAACTTTATACCTGTATTCTTCAAAACAAAGAAAGATTTGAAGGGTGCTCTTATTATTATAATTGTTATTATAATTAGATGATTTCTCTCCCATTTTTACTTTTATTAACTCCTTTGAGGTGGCTTCCAATATCAGTACAATAAAACTTCATACAACCATCAAAAAAGTTCAATAAAAACAAATAGAAATCTTACAGCCATTGTCTAAAAATTCATTAGTAACATTAAAAGCAAACTGTTAATTAACTTCAGCAACCTATATGCAGCTATGATAAAAAGGGTCACATAACATATAAGAAAAGTAATAAAAACATGTAATCATTAATAGTTTACAGTAACAACAAAAGAAGTGGCAAACCTAATAAATTAAAATATCATATCAGCCTTTTAAAAATGCCTGGGCTGCAAGAAAGAAAAATTATTGCTAACCACATGGAATTTGTATTCCATAAAATTGCTAGTACAGAGTTAAAAGTTTATTGCCAAGAGGTTTTTGTGGGAAAAAATTACAAAGAGAGGAGGTTTTCCAGGGGAGCAAAAAGGAAAAACAAAAAAGAGGAGATCAAGTGGAAGAGGGGAAACAGAAGTTAAAAAGTACAGCAAGAGGAGGTTTAGGGGGAATTTGGCGGGGGGGGAGGCAGGAGGAAGATAAAAGGTGAGCCTGACAAAAAATTGGGGAGAGGAGATTGAGGGCAACCCTCACTTTGTTCCAACATGAATACAGGCCACTGACCATTTTTCAAAGGCAGAAATATATAACATTGTCCTCTACATGCCCCCAGCCTATGAGGAACGCAACCTTCCTCCCTTTGTCTTTTCCTACTGTATATCAAAAGTAGAATCTTCTGATTCGTGCCAGCTCAAAGCAGTACTGCCTGGTTCCCCTGCTGTGCCTTATTTCATTTTCGGCAAACACCTCCAATTGGCTATGGTGCATTATAGCAGGAATGCTCTCCCCCTTGTTTTCACTCGTCATTGTCTTCCAAGTTCTTGGGTTTTGTTTTTCACAAGTTCAAGACGGAATGGTGAAAGGCTTTCTTTCTTTATAGGAAATAAGGAGAGGTGAAGAGGGCTCAGTGGAACCCTTGGCATAGACCAGCTCCTGAATTCAGGGCACCCTCCAGTTAGCACAAGGGTTATATCCATTTGGTGGCGGCAGCCTCTTTCTTGTTGTCCCATTAATATAAGTAGCAGTAGTAGTAGTTTATTAATTGATTAGTCCTACAAACTTATCAATAAAATAAATTAAAATTAAGTACAATACACAGTCTAGTTCCAAAAAGGAAAATAGATAGGAGAAAATACAGTGATAAAATACATATGTGACAATACAAGGAGTCAGTAATCAGATAAATGAATCTCCCTTACAGGATATCCCAATTTGTTCAATGTATTGGGTTCTTATGACCACTGCCTTAGTTATAAACTTAGCAGTTCTGCATACAATATACACATTAGAACCCCGGAGGAAATAAGACAGTCTGTGGTTTGGATCCCAGTATGTTGTTCTTTCCAATAGGGACGATATATATTTAAGCCTAATGGGTGCATATAATTGGCAACTGAACAAAGTATGGAAAATATTTTCAATGGCTGGTGAACCTCATATGCAGGTTCTCTCATGATATGGCAAGTGGTGGAAGCGCCCATATTTGGCCATGAAATCCAGCAACTCAAATCTAGCTCTAGAATAGGCCCTTCTTAAAAACTGTGGCAGACTTATTGACAGGTATTTTTCAGGTTGGAAAGTAATTTTATTTTTTGCCAACCATCTTAAAGATGTATTTTTAGTCAATAATTCCATGTCAGTTTGCGCACTAATATCCAGGACTCTCTATTTAAAAATTTCCCTTGCCTGAGAGACCGTTGAAAGCAGATGCTGAATAGAAAGCCCATGTCGTGAAATAACTTCAAAGAGTTGGCTGATCCAAGAATTGGGTTGTGCCATATTTATCTGTCCAGTTAAGCATATTTTGGGAAGTCTATCAGTCTATTGATTGGATCCTCAGCCAGTATGTGAAAACTTTAATTATTAAGTGACTATGTAAGGAATGGATACCTAATTCCGCTTTGACTGCAGGGGCAGACGTATTCTTATCTGTTCCCAATATGCATCTTAAAAAGCGGGTCTGAATTTGTTCAAGTAGGGTAGCTTTATTTAAACCCCACAATTCTGCACCATAGGTCAGCACTGGAACTATTTTTGCCCTAAACACCTTCAATATAGGGTCAGGGTGCCTGGGTAATTGTAGTTAAATAATTTATATAATCTTTTAGTGCTTGCTGCGGCCCTTGCCGAGCTTCTCTTGAATTGATTTAACCGCAACCCTCTGCTGGTAAAAACCACTCCTAGATAGTTGAAAAAATTCACTTGTTCAATAGACTCCCCATTTATCTGCCAGTCATATTTCTCGCTTTTTCTGCTAAATACCATCACTTTAGATTTGCTTTTATTGATGTTTAAAAAATTATGAGCACAGTAGGTATTCAGTTTTTGCAGCAGTCTTTTCAGGCCTATTTGGGAATGCCCATTAATGTAAGGTTTTTAAGGCAGAGCCTTAAAATCTGGCATGTAGGCATAAAGAAAGATTCCTTCAAATATTGTGCCTAAGCCACTAAAAAAGTACAAAGATAATCACCATCACCTTGAACTAAACTTGGAAGGAACTAGCTAATGCAGATGTGATAGCATCTTGGCATACCAGTTACAATTCTGACAGCCAGATTATGTGTTAGCTGAAGATTCTGAGTCATTTTTAAGGGCACCCAATGAACAATATATTACAGCAATTCAATTAGAATTCATCTGAGCATGGAGTATTGAAGCAACTATCCCCATTTAAAAATGGTTGCAACCTGCAAACCAGCCAAAGCTTGTAACAGACAGTTCTAGCCATTGAGACTACCACAAGTGACAAAGCTGAGTCACATAATACCCTGAAACAATGTACCTGCTGTTTTGGGGGAATGGCACAATCTGCATACCCATTGATTAGACATGAGAGCCACCTATCCCCTAGCTTCCATCTTGTCATGATTCACTTTACTTTTTCAGGCCTACCTACATACCCTTAACTGGAGAGATATTCTCAAAGTAAGAATTCCTCCCTAGTACAAGATCATTTTCAGATATATAATCTTATTTTTAATTGCTCTTTGTGCTGAAGAATTAGTGCCTTATCCACAGCCTACTGACCCAGGTACTTCTATAACACATGATTAAATCATATAATTCTCCTATATATGAATCACCTGGTGCTCTTTCTTCTAAAGCTACCTATTTATTTCTTTTTATAGAAATTTATTCCATTGTTTTGTTTTGCAATCAAAACTATTTAGATCGTGTAACCATTTTTACTTTTGTGTATCCATAGAATATTGCTATAAATAATTTCATCTTTAAAAAATGCTTTTGACAATGGAGAATGTCAGAAATTTATTTTCCATCGTTGCTAAAAAAAGTAAAAAGGGAAACTTACTCTTATAAGTTCATAGGCATCTGGGCCATAACTGATAGCAGCAGGAACATAAAACAAGCCATTATAAAAAATGTTGTCGGATGGGAGGCATGGCTCTTCGGGGTCATCCTCTAGGTTGAGCCCATTGAAGTAATAACCAAACATATCATAGGGGAGCAGACTGTAGACCTAAGGAGGAAAAAAGGCAAAGTCTTGTTATAATCAGGCCAAACAGATATACATTCTGAACACAGACAATGGCCCCATCCCAAAGGCTAAAATTTACAATCTGAACAAACTGGGATGAATTAGGCTACATACAGAGCAAACCTGGCTTTTAATGTATCCCTTAAAGAACTGCATAAGCCTAGGATAATAATGAGTCATATGAGATACCGGAACTGCGTATCTTCTCTGTTATTAAGTGTACAGGATCAGGCACAGCCTGACAAAGACAAAGTAGTCAGTGCTTACACTTTTAGCTGACAATTCTGTCTCTGGTTTTAAGAGAAGGACACTCTGATCCACAGCTCGCAGGGCACAGTAAGAACTATCAGCAGCTTTAATATGGAGTCTGACTTTTGAAGCTGGGAGAGCTTGCTTCTCAGAAAACTGAAGTTTTACCTGGAATTGAACAGAAATCATGGAAGGAATTTATCTTATTATCCATAGAATTCAAATAATGAAATGATGTGAACCTTCTTTCCATCTCAGACAGGAACTGTGACAAAAGCCATATGAAGGAAAAAAGGGTCTGGATATTCCACTTTCCACTACTATTTTTAGCATCTATCTGATTTACGCAACTGCTCTGATCTATTGTATCACATAGATTTTATTACCTTTATCGGTCCAAGCTTTTTTGATAGTTGAATATGAAAGTGGAGGGGGAAAATAAATGTGTTTCAGTCTTTAGATGTATACGTATGATGGGTCACTGTTCTGGAAATAGAGACTAAACCACAGAGTGAATGGCTGTTTTTGGTCAAGAGCTGAAGCTGCTGATTATGATTAGAGAACCACAAGAGACACTTGTCCCATGATTCTGGCACAGACCATAGAATTTCTGTAGAACAACTGATCTCTTCCAAACAGGAAACCAGGAAGATTCTTATTCTGAGGTGGAACAGAACAGATGGAGAAGGAACCAGAAATGTATCAACATAGAGCAGAATGGAAATAAAAGCAAACAGGAACATTTTGGCAGACATTTTGTTGCTATACAAGACCCCAAAGAAAGCCTATGATATGCACTAGGGGAGGACATTTAACTTGGTAGCTAAATTCCATCTTTCCCTCAGTTCTATTTACTTGTGAACTGTATTCATAATAGCTTAGCTTGACTTGTCTGTGTTGTTATTCCTGACCTTATTTTTGAAGCACTTTTCTATCTGGAACCTGGCAGTATCAACAACCACCTCCCTCTCTGGATGGAGAGTGTAGACCAGCAGCGTGGCAACTGGAGCCAGGCTTGAACTGACCTTTAGTCGGATGTTGAAGGAGCCTTTGGAAGCTGTCATAGAGGAGAAAAGTAGGAATCAGCAGACAGCCTCCTTCTGAAATCCACAGACTCTGCATTTCTTCTGAAGCTCATACTGTTTTATCAGATCTGACAAACCACTCAATATCAGTTTTGGATCCAACAGGAATTATTTTATGTACTACTTCTCTACATGTTTATCTGTTGCAACCTTTAACCCAGATTTAGCCTCTAATTCAGAGATCTGGTGGATGTAATGGAGCACGTTTTGTATCTTACAAATTCTGATTGGCTCAATGTTTTCTGATTGTTGATGACATTTTTGAACGAATCCAAAGCAAGTTGGGAGGGTGGAGGAAAACTTGGCAATCACTATTAGTGATCAGATGGTATTAACTGCAGTGGTAAGAAAAATTACTGCAGTGCAAAAGTGAACATTTATTTATTCTATAAATTCATATAGCATCCTTCAAATCAAAGGGTTTCCAAGGTGGCCTCCAAACACTTAAAAATCCTAAATTTAAATTTTGAAACTAAATAGAAAATAAAAGTATGCAGGATATAAACACTAGAAACAGAGAATAACAGAAGTAAAATTGCCAAGATTGCATTGTAGCATAAAGCTTTATTCATAGCATTATACATTCTGACTTATCATTTTTAGATGTATTTGCATAAATACTGAAAAATACTTCAGATTGTCCAAATCAGAAGGATGAGTTTCTCAAACAAGTTTTGTACTCCTCATTTTTGCCAATCTTTTGACAGAAGACATCAAATGAAAACTTTCTTAAAGATTTCCCAGATTTTTATACATATTAATATGGCTTTAAAAAGGAGCCTTTGGTACACACTCAGCTCTGTTGCACACCGCAACACAAGTTTTAAAAGAATCTTCCACAATTATCTTCAGAGCACAGCAAGAAGATATGCAGAAACATCCATTCCCCACAATGGCTGTTAAAAATGGTAATGTCCATTCAAATATGAAAGGGTCAGGAATGAATCCACTGCTCTGAAAGTATCTTTGCTGAACCTCTGCCATTAGGGGTGAATCAAGGCAGGCACTGCCTACCTCAAGATGGCCTGACACCACTTCAAACCTGCTCTAACTTTCTGATAGTTGCTCATCTTTTCCCTTCTCCCAGATGAAAAACTCAGCAGCTGTGATTGAAAGAAAGACTGGAAGATCTCAGAAGGAAAAAAAATGCTGCTGGAGCAAAACACTCCTTCCTTCCCTCTCCAGGATTCTTAGGCTAAGGGTTTCCTATGGGAATAAATCTGTGTGAATGAATGTATTGCAGTCACAACAAACAGGCATTGGGGAAAAAGCCCTAGAGCTTAACAGTTGTTCACAAAAGTCTGTAGTCTTTGTGGCAAAATCCATCCATCCTTGTTTTCAATTAAGATGATGATGAAAGCAAATCAGCAACAGGATGGGGAAATAATTGCTATGAACTGCTGCAGGAAAATGTGAAACATAAAGGGGCATAAAGTGGTGAGTGGGCTGTTTTGCAGTTCAAAACAACAGTTTTCATATTGAAAAAGTATCACCACAGTCCTGTGCATTGCCTCACTAGTGAAGCTGACTCTTAGGTAAGTGGGTGTATGATTTAAGTAATGCTTACCATGACTAAGGGAGACAGTGTACTTATTGAAATGGACAATTTTGTTTTTCACCAGTACCTGTAAACAACAACAAGAAAACAAGCTAAAATGAAAAAAAAAGGAAGTAAGAGAATTGCTGCTCATTAAAACATGCAAATAGCAAGAGCTCTTATTAAGCCTGAAAATCTGAAGCTCTTTATAATGTCCACACTGTTTTTCTGTTTTGCTCAGTAAATCCTTATTTAGTACATAAAAATGGAAAAATGACTGTAAACACACAAATCTTGCAGTATATATGCTTTAGAAGTTGCCAATTGTCCTCACATTACTGCAAAGTTCAGTGATAAGTATCCCAGGTAGGATTGCTTACCCTGCTGACCATCCACAGCCAGGCACCACCAAGGTCAGTGGCATGTGCCTAGATATAACCGTGGCAAGGGCTAGAGGAAAGAGGTGCTAAGGTGAACTGTAACATGACACAGAAACTTTGTCAGATATTTGTCAATGTTATTATCATATAAGTTTTTGTGAATTACAGTCCATTGGATGTATGTGGTATGGTTCTGAGAGAAACATTTTACATGTGCTCAGTTATTGGTGTGGCAGGGTTAACAGGGGAGAAATAATGAGGACGGAAGTTAGAGACAGAAGGGTAGAATTACTTTAGTGTGGGAGATGGAATTACTGAGATTGTAATAATAAATACAGAAAATGTGTTTACGGGAGTAGCCATGTCAGTCCAAATAACTCTTGTGGATTTTTTTTGTTTGTTCATTTTTGGCTTTATTTTTGCTACAAAAGACTAACATGGGTGGAGTTTGTTTTTTTTAATTTAGACATTTATACGGTATTTGTATGTGTGTTTCAACGTAAAAGAAAACTTTTTTTATAAAACAGTACATAAAACAGTAACAATAAAGAAATTGAGATAGGTTTCTCAACTAAGGGGAATCTCCAAATTTACATAAGATGATAACATTATCTTACTTGTCAAAGATGTCACTAAAGGAAGTCAGTAACTTAATAAACATTTATCCTGGCCAACCTCTCTCTCAGAATCCACTTCTACGTTTAAGATGTTGGTATTCTGTTGCAGTCACATGTTTCAACCCTGGTAAATGCTGTAAGAAAAACTAGGCAGAAGTTTGGTTCTTACCAAGTAGTAGAAGGTTGCCGTCCTCCTTCCTTTTAAGTTTTGGGGTGAATTTGGGATATTGTTCAGGATATAAAACACTTTGATCAGTCTGAACTGGTCACAATGCAGATCTTCAAAGACCTGTTGTATCTTTATAAAACTCTCTGTCCTGGAATAGAAGCGTTGGACTGAATAATAGGCCTCTGGATAGTAAGGTATTATCCAGCCATCACTGTTGCAATTTTCGTTGGGTTTATATATTAGCTGTAGGGAGTGAGAAGGGAAAGAACAGATTATTTTACATCATTTGTAGAAATCAATATATTTCATAGTATTTTTACATAATTTTATTAAAGATTATAATTGCAATAGTAAAAACTAATACAAATTAAAAGGAAGAAGAAAGAGTAGAAAGAAAGAGTAAAAAGTGCAAAGGAAAAGGAAAAAAGTAGAGAATAGAAAGAAAAGAAAGAATATAGTAAAGAAAGAAAGGAAATATATAAAGAAGTGACTTCCAACCTTCATCACAAGTATAAACAATTTTAGTAACTTT